GGGGGTCCATCCATCGGGTTTCTTATAGCACAAAAACCAGGGGTGCCCTTCCTTCTCACAATACCAGCAACTCCCTTTCATTTTGCCACCAGCACCCGACTTGCCCCCACGTCCAGATTTCGCACCGCGACCCCAACCGGTACCTCCTTGTTGGTCGTTGGAGTCGTCGTCCTTCTTTGCACCGCGTCCGGCACCACCGAAGCCACGTCCTTTGCCACGTCGGCTCCCTTGCATCCCGTAGCCGCTGCTGCCGTCGTCTCCACCCCTCAGTTGACGGCGACGGAAGTCCTCCTCTAGAATCTTTGTCCGCACCCACTCGAGTGTCCACGAGCTCTGGTTCTGCGGCAGGCTCAATCCGCTCGTGAATTGAAGCCACGATTCCGGCAGCAGCGAGAGCATCTTCAGGCACTTGGTCTGCTCCGGGTAGGTGATTCCCGCGATCGCCAACTTCGCGTAGAGGTCGCGCAATTTGTCCAGGACAGGTTGCACCGGCTCTCCCTCGCTCAGGCGCAACGCGGACAGCTCCCTCTCCAGCATCAATGTTGCAACAACGGAGGTCCGGGCGTGCAGCTCCTTCAACACGGTCCACGCCTTCGGACCGCACTCAACCTCCGGCAGCAGGTGCATGACGTGGTGACGCTGGTTCAGCTCCAAACTCTGCGACATCAAGTAGTAGCCAGCCGAGGCGCGCTCGTCCCAATCTTCCTGAAGGGCGGGGTCACTCGGTCTAGGCTCCTCCCCAATCATTAGTTTCAGCAAACCGATCTGACGGAAATAAAGTTGCATTTTCCAGGCCCAATCATCATAGCCCTCACCATTGAACTTCTCGACGGTGAAGTTTTTCAGCACCTCCTTGATCAGCGAGCCCTGGCTTGTTCGCGCTCCCCTTGGCGCAGAAACACCAGAATCTTGGCTGCCGCTACGATCTTGGGCTGAAGATTCACCAGCTACCGCCGAGGTGTTGCCCGCCATAGCTACCTATAACGAGGATCACTATAACGCAGCTCTGATACCAGCTTGTTGGTGTAAGGGCCTAATAAACTCAAGCTATTAAGACTTTATCAAACTTAAAACCTCTCCTCGGGGTCACCTCCAAGGGTCCTTGGGTGCCTGGTACAAGACCAGCCCCTATCCTCGGGTCCGAGTTTGTAGAGAGAGGGATCAAGAGGGACTTAGTCAAAACAGCAAGAGTACCTTGAACGTCGCGCAGCGTATCGTGCAGACCGTCGACCGGATTAAGCTGAGAATTTGCTATATCGAAGCTCACTCTAAGAGCTTTAAAATAAGCCAAGTTGCCTCGCGAAAAGTTCTGCCATTACGAAGTTATGGCTCGGACAGCGTTAGCCTAGCGTTGGAGTGCTAGCATACTAGCGTTGACTCGGGTAGCATTCCGCCGTCGCATCGCGTAGAAACGAAATTCCAGCAAGGAAGGAATTCGCTTGAATCAATTTTACGATATCCAGGTACAAACAGAGAAGGAATAAATAGTTCTAGCTAGCAAGGACCTTGGGAATGAACCTGAGAACAACCAGGGATCATCCCAAATAATTCCAAGCAACAGAACCAACCTGGCTGGACAAAATAGCAGGTGGTAGGTTGGTAAACAACCTCTGGTTCTGTTTTTCCAACCTGGGAAAACAACAACCAGGTTCAGGTCCTAAAAACAGAACCTGTTTTGTCTTTGCCCAACAAGCCAAATGCTGGTTCCGCTGGTTTCCCCTGGCCCTGTAGCATGCAGATACAGACAAACAACATCCAACCTTCACCTAAATTGTACCCTTATAGTGCCTGCCCTGCTACACTATAGTCAACCAAACAAAACAGTACAATTTCGAGTTGGATAGAACTGAATCTGCGCAATCAAGTAAGTTGAACCGCAAAGCTTCCATCTTGGGTTCCTTTGCGAGCTCGTCCTTTCTGCTTGTACTGTTCATAGCGCGTACAATGTTATGCCGAAGCGCACATTGTGCGAGTACCTGCAAATGCTTCAAGCGAAAATTGCGAAAGCAAACAAACACACGAACATACCATTCACACGCAAATGCATTCGCATACGCATACTCGTACAATCAGACGGCAGGATGTCGTGCAATGTGAATTTGCACCCAACAACTACACCGCTTTCTTTCCCTCATGCGGCACCACCAGACCCCAAGTCCCATTCTCCAGCTGGCTCTAGTACTCAGCATCCTTAGAAGCCAGTCACTTGTCCCTAACAGCCCTAGCTAGTGCCTCCTCAATGCTAGCTGGTTCGTCTGGTGCAGGGGCAAGATTACAGTATGTAGGCTCGTCCTTCTCATCCAGGTCATATCCTTGAGGCAGAATCAGCAAAGCCTCCTTCTTCCCAAGCTGCTGCTCTGCTACATCAGCTCCTGCAGTCAGCTTCCCAGTGGCTATACGGATACGTCCTGGCCTGGTGACGGGTATTTCCCATCCCTTCACTATGGCACCTTTCAGCTTCCTCCTTGATGGTAGTATAGGAGCCTTAGCTTTGCCCTGCTGCTGCTCTCCTCCCTCAGATCCAGCAACTTCACTAGTGCTACCACTAGTCTTCACACCATCTCCTCCACCAGCAGGTGCCTCCTGTACCTTCTCTCCATCGCCACCCTCTGCAGTAGCCTCCTCTCCCTCCTCCCCCATACTAGGAGTTAGGTTCAGCTGCATGTGTTGGTATAAGGGCCTAATAAACTCAAGCTATTAAGACTTTATCAAACTTAAAACCTCTCCTCGGGGTCACCTCCAAGGGTCCTTGGGTGCCTGGTACAAGACCAGCCCCTATCCTCGGGTCCGAGTTTGTAGAGAGAGGGATCAAGAGGGACTTAGTCAAAACAGCAAGAGTACCTTGAACGTCGCGCAGCGTATCGTGCAGACCGTCGATCAGATTAAGCTGAGAATTTCCTATATCGAAGCTCACTCTAAGAGCTTTAAAATAAGCCAAGTTGCCTCGCGAAAAGTTCTGCCTTTACGAAGTTATGGCTCGGACAGCGTTAGCCTAGCGTTGGAGTGCTAGCATACTAGCGTTGACTCGGGTAGCATTCCGCCGTCGCATCGCGTAGAAACGAAATTCCAGCAAGGAAGGAATTCGCTTGAATCAATTTGACTATATTCAGGTACAAACAGAGAAGGAATAAATAGTTCTAGCTAGCAAGGACCTTGGGAATGAACCTGGGAACAACTAGGGATCATCCCAAATAATTCCAAGCAACAGAACCAACCTGGCTGGACAAAACAGCAGGTGGTAGGTTGGTAAACAACCTCTGGTTCTGTGTTTCCAACCTGGGAAAACAACAACCAGGTTCAGGTCCTAAAAACAGAACCTGTTTCGTCTTTGCCCAACCAGCCAAAAGCTGGTTCCGCTGGTTTCCCCTGGCCCTGTAGCATGCAGATACAGACAAACAACATCCAACCTTCACCTAAATTGTACCCCTATAGTGCCTGCCCTGCTACACTATAGTCAACCAAACAAAACAGTACAATTTCGAGTTGGATAGAACTGAATCTGCGCAATCAAGTAAGTTGAACCGCAAAGCTTCCATCTTGGGTTCCTTTGCGAGCTCGTCCTTTCTGCTTGTACTGTTCATAGCGCGTACAATGTTATGCCGAAACGCACATTGTGCGAGTACCTGCAAATGCTTCAAGCGAAAATTGCGAAAGCAAACAAACACACCGAACATTCCATTCACACCCAAATGCATTCGCACACGCATACTCGTACAAACAGACGGCAGGATGTCGTGCAATGTGAATTTGCACCCAACAGTTGGCCCCGCCCTCGCTTGAGCGAAACTGACTTCGTGGTCAGATGCGGGGAGGTGCAGCCGACTGTCCGCAGAGGTCGACGTCAGCATGGGCGTGCAGGTTGACGAAGTTGGTCGACCTGCGAGGGACTACTGTGACACCGCCGTCGATGGGAGCCGGCGGCCTACTTCGACAGGGGAGGTTGACCAAGGTGGCCATGGACCTGCGCGGAACCATTGCGAAGCCGTTGACGTGGGGAGGTCAATGGCAGTGGCCGACTTGGATGGTCGACGACGGGGTTCGTCGACCAGGGGGGGCATCGACTTCTGGGTGGTCGACGAAGATGTTCATTGACCAGCGAGGGCGTCGACTTGGTGAAGTCCATTGGAGGCGTCGACCTGCATGGTCGACGAGTAGGTACAATAGTTGGTGGGCTCCGGCCGCGCATGTCAACGTCGACTTGGCGGTTTTCCCTGTCGACCAAGTTATCTGCCTCTGCGAGGTTCTGCAGAGGTGCACGAACGTCGTCGAGGCTGCTGCGGCAAAGTCGACCAACGTGGCAGCACGTGGTCAACGTGGCTCGTCAAAAGCAACAATGGGCATATGGCCGTCTTGGCACCTGCGCAATGTATGCGACAGTGCACGTCGTGCGCAATTGTCTAAAAAGACCTGTGAAGTACGTGTGCGTACATGCGCATAAAATTACCTGCAGATGCAACATTGGAAGACCGATCTGCTGCAGCGTTGGCAAGCCGCTCTGGTGCAGCGTTGGCAGGCCGCCATTCTGCAGCGTTAGCAAGTCGCCCATGAGCTGCGTTGGCGGCCGCCAACTTGCTACGTTGGCAGGTCGATGATTTTGCCGCGTTGCCAGTTAACCTGCCCGTGCGCTAGCAAACCTTGCATCTGATGTAGTCATTCTTGCCATTGCTTGTTCATTCAGCATTCCCAACCTTTCCTAGTGAAACTCTTGGTGTTTTTCTCTGTGAACGCACAAGTGCTAGAGAACGCCACTGCAGGCTACGATTATGCAAACCATCCGTGCCTTCACCCGTAGTCCAGCTCCTGGTGTAGAGTGACTTTCCGAAGTCATAAAACAGCTCCAACAACGAATGCCATGACAGAACGCAAGAAATGATACCCTTTTCTTCAGACCCTTGAAGGTGGGGGTTTCAGATATGTGAGCGACCTGGTGCTCAAGTCGCTCACATCTCCATCAGGTGCCTTTGCCAACACGGCAGGCATCAAACTTTTTGGACAAATGAATGTTCCCTCCTGTCCAGATTCCTTCCACAGCGGGCCGCAAGCAAGTGCTGGCTGGTACAGGATGGCAACACCATGCCAGCGGTGCTGGGAACTCCCGCCGTCAGGTACGAATGACTGACGCGTGGCCGAATCTGGACCAACGTACAGTTAAGATGCAAATACGGGGCATTGCGAAACTGTGATGCGTTTGTGAAATTGAAGGGTTTTAGTAACGAATTAGATTTGAGCATTTGTTTTTGGAAATTTAAAGATATTTATGTCAAACTTATATGCTATAGTCTGTGTAGGCTGTAGTGGGATAGCTCATATGGGGTACAACAATTTAGGGTTTCCTACTTGTACTCCTCATGCTGCTCAATGCAATCATTCTCGTTCTAACTTTTCACATGGTATAGAGCAGGTTCCCTAGTGGGAACTTTTCCTAGGGCCCACCGAATATCGATTTTTTATTTCCTGCCCGGAGCGCGCTTAGCCCCTGCCCGAGTCGCGCCCTCTTATGGCCCCTAGCGGCCCCTCTCACGGCCCCTAGTGGCCCCGTCGCGCCGCCCTTGCGGCCCCGTCGCGCCGCCCTCGCGGCCCCTTCGCGTCGCCCTCGCGGCCCCTTCCCGCCGCCCTCGCGGCCCCGTCGTGCCGCCCTCGCGGCCCCGTCGCGCTGCCCTCGCGGCCCCGTCGTGCCGCCCTCGCGGCCCCGTCGCGACGCCTTCGCGGCCCCGTCGCGACGCCCTCGCGGCCCCGTCGCGCCGCCCTCGCGGCCCCGTCGCGCCGCCCTCCACCCCCTCGCGGCCCCTCGTGGCCCCTTAGCGGCCCCTCGCGGCCCCGTCGCGCCACCCTCGTGGCGCCTCGCTGCCCACCCTTGCGGCCCCTCGCGGCCCCTCTCTCGGCCCCTTTGTGGCCCGCCGCGGCCCCTCCTCAGCCGCCGCCGCCCATGCCCCGGCCGCAGCAGCCGCCACCACCGACGGCAGCCGCCGCCGCCGCCGCCGCCGAGAGCAGCTGCCGCAGCCACAGCCGACGGCAGCACCCGCCACCGCCACTGCCGTGTCCGCCGCCGCCACTGCCGTGTCCGCCGCCGCCGCCCCTGCATCGACTGCAGAAGCCGCCACCGCCGACAGCAGCAGCCGCCGCCACCACCACCGTGGCAGCCGCCGCCGCCGACAGCAGCAGCCGCCGCAGCCAACAGCCGCAGCCGCCGCAGCCGACAGCCGCAGCCGCCGCCACAGCCGACAGCCGCAGCCGCCGCCGCAGGTGACACCTTCAGCCGCCGCCACCCTTGTCCGCCGCGGCTCCCTGGACCCTGGAGCCGCCGCCACTGCTGCAGCTGCCCCTGGTCTCTAGAGCAGCAGTCCCTGCAGGAGCCGCGGTGCCCTCGCCCTACGATAGTGGCGGCCTCACCTCTGCCGCTGCCCTTCTTACTACTGGTGAGCACTGCTGTTCCTGCTGTTACTGCTATTATTGCTACTACTGCTCTCTCTACTACTGCTACTACTCCTGGCGTGGTCAAATGCAGCTCCAGCGCCGTCCGCGTGAGTCCCTCACCCCCCAGCAGCTTCGGGAGTGGTACTCTACTTGGGGTTGTCGGGGTGGCCGTGGTGAGAGTCCTTCTGGCGTGGGTAGTCCGGGAGCTGCCTGTAGAAACCAGGTGCAGCTGCAGCGTAGTCCGCGCGCGGTCCTTTCGCCCCAGCAGCTTCGTGAGTGGTACGCTACTTGGGGTTGTCGGGGTGACCGCAGTGGGAGTCATCTTGGAGTGAGTAGTTCAGGAGCTGCTTCGCGTGCCCAGGTGCAGGTGCCGAGTCGTCCGCGCGCGGTCCTCTCGCCCCAGCAGCTTTGTGAGTGGTACGCTCAGCTTGGAGGGTCACGGAGTACTGCTCGCTGTCCGTACGTCATTCGCACTGGTGCTCGGACTGGTCAGCCCTGCGGGACGCCTGGTCACACAGAGTCCCGCTACTTCGCCCGGCTCAGCGACGCCTGGCGTACGGAGTTTGGCGACGAGGTTGAGCTCCCCGACTGGGTGCAGCTGCGTGGGCACAGGGTAGATATCTATGGTCTTGACTATGATGCTATTCTCACTGCCATGTATGCATTGCCTACTAGTGATGGGGGTCACTGTGACCTGTGTGTTCCGCCTGACCCGGGCATTGAGGCTGCTGCTCTAGGTGATGGTGAGGCTGCTGCTCTAGGTACTGGTGAGGCTGTTGCTCTAGGTGCCGGAGAGTTTGCTGCCCCAGGTGCTGGTGAGTCTGCGCTCTCAAGTACCGCGTCGGCTTTGGCCACCCACACCTTCACCCTTGACTCGGGTGCTTCCCGCTCCTTCTTTCGAGACCGCACCACGCTCACGCCGCTTAGTCGTCCAGTGGCAGTCTCCCTGGCAGACCCCTCTCGGGGTCCTGTCCTTGCCCACTTCTCCACTGTCCTACTGTGTCCGGCGGCCCCTTCTGGCACCCTGTCAGGTCTTTACCTCCCCTCGTTCTCTACGAACTTGGTGAGTGGTGCTGACCTCCAGGATGGAGGGGTTCACCAGTTCACTCCTGCGAGTCAGCGGGTGACCCACTGTACCTGTGCTCAGACGGGCCGTCACTTGGCCACGTTTACCTGTCAGCCAGGGTCGAGCCTGTACACACTGACTACTGAGTCTTCTCCGGTCGCTGACTCTGCTCAGGTAGCCGCGTCGGGTCAGGTGTTTGCTGCAGCATCCAGGTCTGGTCCTGAGTCTGCCCCCTGCTCGTGTCGTCTCCTGTCTCACCAGACTCTCCTCTAGCACCACCACCTTGGTCACCCCTCCCTGCCTCGTCTTCGAGGCATGGCCTCCCGTGTCCTTGTCTCTGGTCTCCCCCGGTCCCTCCCTCCCCTTCTTCCGGGGCCTGCCCCCACCTGCGTTCCCTGCGCTGAGGGGCGGCAGCGCGCTGCTCCTCACTCCTCCGAGTTTCCTCCGGTAGAGGCTCCGACGCTTCACATGGACGTGTGGGGCCCAGCCCGCGTCCGTGGACAGGGTCACGAGCGTTACTTCCTGCTGGTGGTTGACGACTACTCGCGTTACACCACAGTCTTCCCCTTGCGCAGCAAGGGTGAGGTCACTGAGGTGTTGATCGCCTGGATCCGCGCAGCTCGTCTCCAGCTTAGAGAGAGTTTCGGCTCTGACTTTCCTGTTCTGCGTCTGCACTCCGACAGAGGCGGAGAGTTCTCCTCTGACCTTCTGCGAGCCTTCTGCCGTGCACGAGGCATCCGCCAGACCTTCACGCCTCCGGCCTCTCCACAGCAAAATGGGATTGCTGAGTGCCGCATTGGCATGGTCATGGACGTCGCTCGTACGTCCATGGTCCATGCAGCTGCCCCCCATTTTCTGTGGCCGTTTGCGGTTCGGTACGCGGCGCATCAGATCAACCTTCAGCCCCGGGTCTCCATGCCGGAGACCTCCTCTGCCTTGCTGTGGACGGGGAAGGTTGGCGATGCGTCCGCATTCCGTGTCTGGGGATCTCGGGCGTTTGTCCGCGACTTGTCTGCGGACAAGCTGTCCCATCGTGCTTTTCCCTGCATCTTCCTTGGCTTCCCCCCTGACGCGCCAGGCTGGCAGTTCTACCACCCCACCTCGCACCGTGTTCTCTCCTCCCATTACGTCACGTTTGGCGAGTCGGTTCCTTACTACCGTCTCTTCCCCTACCGCACTGCGTCCCTCCCCCCCCCCACCGCTCTTCCTTACGCCAGGTCCCCCTCCAGTAGACCCCCTCCCCCCTCAGGGTCCTGCCCCCTCAGGTGTGTCCCAGGTAGACGCAGTCAAGCCTGTCGAGGTAGCTGTTGACTCTGGTGCTGCTAGGGGTGCTGAGCCTGCGGGTGCGGGGTCTGGGGGTGCTGCGACTGGGGGTGCTGAGCCTGGGAGTGCTAAGCCTGGGGGTGCGGAGCCTGGGGGTGCTACGCTTGGGGGTGCTGAGCCTTGGGGTGCTGTGTCTGGGGGTGCGGAGCCTGAGGGTACTAGGCCTACTCGTGTGGCGCATGGTGGTGCTGGGCCTGGAGGTTCTTCGGGTGCTTCGTCCCGGCGGGAGCTACTCTCTACACAGGAGCTGCGTGAGTGGCTTGCCGAGCACTAGAGGCGTGCTGCTGGAGCTGGAGGTGCTGCGGGCGCTGGAGGTTCTGCTGCTTCTGAGGGTGCTGGTGCCGCGGGTCTCGGAGGTGCTTGTACAGGGAGTACTGGAGCTGCTGGGCCTGCGGGTGCTTCTCCTACTGAAGCTGGTGGTGTTGCGGGCGTCGGTGCTGGAGTTGGTGGACGTGCTGCGTCTTCTGGTGGTCCGGCTGGAGCTGGAGCTGCTGAGGGTGTTGGCGCTGAGGGTGCCTCTGGTGCTGGTGCCTCTGAGGGTGCTCGAGTTGGCGCTGCTGGAGCTGGGGGTGCTGCTTGTTGGTGTAAGGGCCTAATAAACTCAAGCTATTAAGACTTTATCAAACTTAAAACCTCTCCTCAGGGTCACCTCCAAGGGTCCTTGGGTGCCTGGTACAAGACCAGCCCCTATCCTCGGGTCCGAGTTTGTAGAGAGAGGGATCAAGAGGGACTTAGTCAAAACAGCAAGAGTACCTTGAACCTCGCGCAGCGTATCGTGCAGACCGTTGACCGGATTAAGCTGAGAATTTGCTATATCGAAGCTCACTCTAAGAGCTTTAAAATAAGCCAAGTTGCCTCGCGAAAAGTTCTGCCATTACGAAGTTATGGCTCGGACAGCGTTAGCCTAGCGTTGGAGTGCTAGCATACTAGCGTTGACTCGGGTAGCATTCCGCCGTCGCATCGCGTAGAAACGAAATTCCAGCAAGGAAGGAATTCGCTTGAATCAATTTGACTATGTCCAGGTACAAACAGAGAAGGAATAAATAGTTCTAGCTAGCAAGGACCTTGGGAATGAACCTGAGAACAACCAGGGATCATCCCAAATAATTCCAAGCAACAGAACCAACCTGGCTGGACAAAATAGCAGGTGGTAGGTTGGTAAACAACCTCTGGTTCTGTTTTTCCAACCTGGGAAAACAACAACCAGGTTCAGGTCCTAAAAACAGAACCTGTTTTGTCTTTGCCCAACAAGCCAAATGCTGGTTCCGCTGGTTTCCCCTGGCCCTGTAGCATGCAGATACAGACAAACAACATCCAACCTTCACCTAAATTGTACCCCTATAGTGCCTGCCCTGCTACACTATAGTCAACCAAACAAAACAGTACAATTTCGAGTTGGATAGAACTGAATCTGCGCAATCAAGTAAGTTGAACCGCAAAGCTTCCATCTTGGGTTCCTTTGCGAGCTCGTCCTTTCTGCTTGTACTGTTCATAGCGCGTACAATGTTATGCCGAAGCGCACATTGTGCGAGTACCTGCAAATGCTTCAAGCGAAAATTGCGAAAGCAAACAAACACACGAACATACCATTCACACGCAAATGCATTCGCATACGCATACTCGTACAATCAGATGGCAGGATGTCGTGCAATGTGAATTTGCACCCAACACACTCCCCCTCAGCCTGCCGGCTGCATCCCCATCATTCCATACTAGTTCATACTCATTCCACTCATGCGCACACAACGCCAGTGAGGCTCATCTGCAAGCCTCTTGGTGAGGAAGTCTGCTGGCTGCTGGTGAGTCTTGATGCAGATCGGATTCACCGTCCCCCTCTTCACCTCCTTACGCAGCCAATGCCACTTGATACGCATGTGCTTGTTCAGCCCATGAAGCACAGCGTTCCTGGCCATCCCAAGAGCTCCCTTGCTATCACAAAACAGCGGCGTAGCAATCTTTTGCTCCTGGCCAATCTCCTCTAATAGCCTCCTCAGCCAAATCACCTCCTTCACCCCATGGAACATCGCCATGTACTCTGACTCGACGGAAGAGAGTGCTGTCTCCGTCTGCTTCTTGGACCTCCAACTAACAGGTCCTCCCCCTACTACGCAGATGTATCCTCCCACAGATGAAGAATCTTCCTTCTCAGAGGCCCACGTAGCATCGGTAAAGCAAGTGAGAAAGAGCTTGCCTTCTCCAAGCCTCTCCCCCTTCTCTTTCAGCACCTCAACCCCTTTCTGCTTCACCTGTGCAGATGCGGAATACTGAACTCCAATGCTTGGGTGAGAGTTCAGATACTTCACCACACGCTCAGCTGCATCCACCTGCTCCTCTGATGGATTCTGCACCACCCTAGCCAGCTGCCCAACCGAGAATGAGATGTCGGGCCTCGTGTGAACTGCTGCATACAAGAGGCTGCCCACCAAGGACTGAAATTGCTGCTGCTCCTCGGCTTCAACCCCTTCATCTTCTGCAGCTTTCACAACCTTGAATTCTGCTGGCAGGGGAGTTGCAACCTTGCGCTCATTCT